ACTCTGGCTTCAGGAACCTTGCTCAGTGTCCAGCTTGAGGCTCTGTCTCAAAAAAAAAAAAAAAAAAAAGAAAAATCAATGGAACATAAATAATATAGAGGAAAACAGATGGGAGCCCTTATTGCTTGATGATCTCAACCAATGAAAAGGCAATTAGAAGCTTTAAGGCGCTTAACTAGAACAGTAGTTACACACAATTTTTTTTTGTGTGAAAACATCTCACATTAACCTAATTCATTTTTTATATTAAACAATATGAAAATGTTTCAATATCATCAAAGAATTCTAGTTCAAAAGCAAGTAATAAAACTTTAACATGACCCTGAAAATACTTTTACCTAAATATCTTGGACCCTCAAAATGCTCACAAAAATCTGTATTTCAACAGTAAGGTGATCATCCACAATTTTGTCACACACAGACACACTCATATAATCTATAGTTTTGAGGATTGTTAGTAGGTCCTTTCACCATAAAAAAGGCATGATTAACAATATAATTTCAAAATCAAAATCAAAAATACAGTTTAGTCTATTAAGTTAAAAGAATGTCCCTTTATCAGAAACTTTTGGTTTATGAATTTCTTTTACTTTAAAACAGTGGTTCTCAACCTTCCTAATGCCATGACTCTTTAATATAGTTCCTGTGGGTCGCAACCCACAGGTTGAGAACCTCTGCTTTAAAATGACCTTTAAAAGCATGCTTTCTTTTGCTGACTCATTCATACTTTTTGCTGACCGCATCATACTTATGGGCAAGGAAAAAAAACTCACCCTAAAATTCCGACAGAATGAGAGTTTGAAGGGTTTTAGATTTTATGCCTAAGGCATGTTAAAGACATCTCCAAGTCAGTCACATGGGCTACTTAAAACTAATGTATACATTTTGATATCAATTTTTATCTGCTATAATATACTAAACTGTACATTTTAAAAAGATCAGTGATTATATATGATCATTTAATATAGGAATGTTGCTGCAGGTTTAATTTTTTTTTTTTTGCAATTTTTGGCCAGGGCTGTGGTTTGAACCCAGCACCTCTGGCATATGGGGCCGTGCCCTACTCCTTTGAGCCACAGATGCCACTCCTGCAGGTTTGATTGATTTAACTGGATTCTACCAAGTAGAAACTTGTGATTGACTACTATTAAGAATTCAAGTGTACTAAAAGAAATGAGGTTATCAAATTATGTTTGCCTATATTAGTAAATACTTTGTCATTTCTAACCTATAAAATCCAAACCCAAAATCTCTTTAAAAATATATTACTATTCCTCTCTTCTTTCATTGCTACTAATTATTTTCAGTTTTCATGGTTTTTTTTTTCCTGAATTAGTAATGAATGCAAATGCTTCTGGTCTGAGTCTTTGAAGGCTCTTACATAAACAAATACTTGTCTTCAAATCTTTGCTTTTAAGAAAGCCATGTGCTTGATTAGCTAGAGTGGGGAAAAAGGAATCTTCCCACGCCTTTGATCTAACCTTGTGACTACTATTTCTGTCATGGACATGCGGTTTTGTGATCAAAAGACTTGATATTATGTGCTCCAATTCCTTCAAAGTCTTTAGTTGAAGTGCTTGGCACTCCCTGGGCTAGAATTCTGGAACATTACATTTTAGGATATTTTCCACAACTACTTTAAATCTACTATCATATTGATCTAAATTTCTGTACTGGTTCCTTTTATGTAGTGGTTCTCAATCTTCCTAATGCCTCCTAATGCTGTGACCCTTTAATACAGTTACTCATGCTATGGTGACCCCCAGCCATAAAATTATTTTCATTGCTACTTCATAACTGTAATTTTGCTACTGTTATGAATCATAATGTAAATATCTGATATGCAGTATGTATTTTCATTGTTACAAAGGGGTGGCAACCCACTGCTTTAATGGATCAATTAAATATCCATAAAGATGAATACAAAGATGTTACCACCCCTTTACTGTTAACCTGGCTTATAGTTACTTCTAATTAAGCAGAATAACATTCATAGTTCATTTTGATTGAAAATTGTGAAAACAGAGAAACCATATTTTCTCAATGTTGTTACAAATGTCAAGAAGAAAATCAAGGTCATAACAGGTTTTTTTTTTTCTAGATTGTATTAAGGAATTAATGTAGCTTAATCATATCCCATTTACTTTCTAGTTAATGAATATGAAAAAGTGATAATTTTTCTTTGGAACTTACAAGTACAATCTGCAAATACATGATTTTGAGAATAGTTTAATACGTTGACTTCAAGATACAACTATATTCTAATGTTAATGTTTTAAGAAACGGATCCTTACAAGACCAAAATAACCCACAGGCCATGAAGTTGATTTTCACTTTTTCCTTTTTTTTTTTTTGTTTAAAACAAATGTGCACCACAATGTTTCAACAAGTAAGGCAAATGCCATGAATATGAAAGCTGCAATTTGCAACTGTTTGCAATATACCACATCTAGAACCCAAGGGAGGTGACTTAGACAGAAATGGTAGTCATTCTAATTAAACAATCAGGTAACATCAGGACAAGTTGGTTTGCAGCATCAAAACTGTCCATTTAAGTTTCTTTTTTCTTGATGATCAGAGGTCCCACGTTGTCTCCAGTTTCTTCATTGTGTTTTGTGTGAGCCCCATCACAGAATGGGAACTAGGAAAAGAAAGGGAGAATGTGAAATATCTAATCCCCAAATCAGTATTATGCTTTGCAGAGTGGAATGTGATGCTGAAGTCACATAACAAAGATGTTTCTTGGCTACCTTATACAGACTTTCTTTAAGAGCTTATGTAAAGTACACAGACCAAACAGGAAGAAAAAATCAACTCATGGATGATACACAGATCAGTAACTGAATTTCATTGTGATATGAAATGATGAAAACTTTCTCTATGCTTATGTATGAAGATAATAATTTCTTGTAAACTATGGCTATTGCCAAATTATTTGTGAGAGTTTAAGTTCATTCATTTAAAATAAAACAAATTTTTTTTTTAGTTTGCTTTTGGCTGGGGCTGGGTTTGAACCCGCCACCTCCGGTATATGGGGCTGGCGCCCTACTCCTTTGAGCCACAGGTGCTGCCCTTAAAATAACTTTTTATATTATTCCTATGTTGGTTATCTTTTTCTATTTTTTTGTGGTTTTTATTTTCATTTTTTAAATTTCAAATTAATATGAGGGTACAAAGTTTTAGGTTACATTGTTCTCACTTCCAAGGTAAAGTTCAAATTATAAGAGCCCCTCGCTCAGGGGGTGTGCTGAACATCCTCAAAATGTGCACATTTGGTAAGATCCTGCCAAGTGCTCTCCCTCCTCCTGCTAATAACGCTCTCCCCTCCTCACCCTTTACCCTGCCCCCTTGCTAGACTATATTTGTGTTTTATTGTTTGCATGAGCATGTGTAATTGTTTATATATTGGTTTCCAAACCTTTTCATTTTGGTTATTTTTTCATATCTGACTTTCTCCACGTTCATATGTCAATGGCAAGTATGCTAATATTTCCCCTTTTAATATCTGTCATGGAGAGGTCTGTTTTTGACCTCTCAACAGATGAGATTAAAATTGTCATTCCTTTTCATGATTTCACATTTTAGATAAAACTGACATTTTGGTGTCCAGTGGGAAGAAAAGAGAAAAAACCAAAAATTCTTTTTTTTCTTTTTTAAGACTCACAGCAACCTCAAACTCTTGGGCTTAAGTGATTCTCTTGCCTCAGCCTCCCAAGTAGCTGGGACTACAGGCACCTGCCACAATGCCCAGCTATTTGTTGTTGTGGTTGTCACTGTCGTTTGGCAGGCCTGGGCTGGGTTCGAACCCACCAGCCCTGGTGGATGTGGCTGGCACTTTAGTGCTGAGCTACAGGCACCAAGCTGATAAAACCAAATTTGTATTGTGCCCCAAAGAGCTGAACCCTGCCAAATACTCTGATTCGGTTTTGTTCTGTGTTTAAAACACAGGGTTTCTCTTTACTATCCAGGCTGGAGAGCAGTGGCATGAGCATAGCTCCCTATAACCTTAATCTTCTAGGCACCATTGGTCCTCCCACCTTAGTCTCTCCTGAGTACTTAAGATGACAGGTGTGCAGTACCACACCCAGCTAACTTTTACATTTTTTGTGGAGACAAGATTTTACTATGTTACCCAAGCTGGTTTCATAGTCCTGGCCTCATATGATCCTCCTGCCTCCGCCTTCCAAGAGTGCTGGGATTACAGGTATGAGCCACGATGAACAGCAGCTCTCAAGTCACAATACACATCATTTTAAAGGGTTCTGCTGTAAAAACCACTATTTCAACCAGAATTTCTCAAGTTGATTGGACTGTGGACACTTTTTTTTGGTTTGGAGAAAAAGTCTTTATTTCATCTTCATATTTGAAAAATACTATTGCTGGGTATTGAATTCTGGGTGGGAAGTTTTTTTTTTTTTTAATTTTAAGTAAATTTATTTCAGGTTAATGTGAGGGTAAAAGCAACCAGTCAAAGTATTTGATTTTGTTAGGTAGAATTCATCTTGTGGTTATGTCCCATACCCAAAAGGTGTGCCAATCCCAGACTATGAACACTTTTAACTTTGCTATCCATTATCATTATCAATTTTCTGTACAGCATATACTGTGCTATTCTAAGATCCTGTTGCTTCAGTGAGGAGGTTTTTCCTTCCTACATTATAATACCTTTATTTATAATTTTACCTAAACAAATTATACATCTAAAAAAGCACTTATTTATAAGTTCTATGTTATCATATTAGTAAGTCTCCTACACTGGGATAATTGTGTTTAAAATAGGTTTCAGTATTTGGTATAGCTAGTTTTCCTAAATTAATCTTCTTTAACTTTATTATCACTTTATTCTTCCAGATAAGCTTGAGTTCTTTTGTCATGTCTTATTTCCCTTACTTTTCATCATCAGGTCTCAGGCATATTCTGATAAGATTATTTCTGTTTTTTTTTTTTTTTTTGGCAGTTTTTGGCCGAGGTTTGAACCCACCACCTGTGGCATATGGGGCTGGTGCCCTTCCCCTTTGCGCCACAGGTGCTGCCCTTCTGTTCTATTTTTTATGGTCACCATAATTAGGTATTTTCATATCTGAATACTCTTGCTACATAAATACCATTGATTTCTGCAAGTAACCCTTCCCTATTGTTAAATGATTAAAAAAAGAAGAATTCAATGTTTCAAATGATTCCTTGGCCTGTTACACTCAGAACGTACAATTTTTGATACATTTTTAATTTCTTGCCTCTTATATTTATAGCTTTTATTTCTATTCCATGTTAAAGGACAAGAGCTAGCTAGCATCTTTTTAATAACTATGATGCTCTGAATGTACTTGCTCTTTAGAACTAGAGTGTCACTGTCTAGTATGAGGTATACTGTTGCATTTGAGGAGTCCATTTAAAGGGTAAAGTAACAGGAATCTTGGCCTTAAGAGCAATAATTCCCTTATTACTTACAGTGAAGCCAGTATAATTTTAGATATGTCAAATTTGACAATGATGGTAACATAATCTTAAAACTTTGATATCCAGAAGTCTCTTGCCTAAGATTAAAGTAATATTTTGTTGATGTTAAATCCAATTATAATTTTACTATTTATAGATAATTATGAGGCACTAAATTAGTTAAAATTTATAGAAAAACTCTTATATGTTCACATATAAATTCTATTCTAGGGTAGATGGCAGTTTAAAGGTAATGAATGTAATGCTTATATTATTTCTATTTTAGGTCAGTAAGATGTACACGTTGTATTCATATTAAAAACAGGCATTGCAGCAAAAACATGAACCCAAGTTTTAGTTTTCTCTTGACTTGAATGAGAAAAAAGGCTATAAAAATCAAAGTAAAAATGTATCCTACAGCAAAGTACAGCATTTCAAAGTGACATATGTTTAATAAACAAACACAGATGATTTTACAGTGAGAATAGAAGTTTATACAGCAAAAGACTCCATTTTTATAAATAGCACACACAAAACACTTTGCTGCACAGTTTTATCCATACAGGTTATAAAATGGACTTCTGGGAAAAAAATGAAATATTCGTAAATGAAAAGCCTCAAAAATCTTGCTGAAATGGCATATTTAACTTTCATTTCTTTTTAAATCTCATGTTGAAAATATTAGAAAAATCAACATTTCTTAAATTATTTCCCTCCATATATACATAGTATCAAGAATGAGAGAAAAATTTACAGAAAAATATACAAATTAAGAAAGTCATACATCTAAAATAAGAATGTATTTTTTCTAATACTCTGGTTCTAACTAAAAGCTGAAATCAGCCATTTATTCATGCTCTTAAAAGCAAACAAAAACATTCTTTAAAAAAGTAGTAGATTGTGTTGTTAAGAAACTTTCATGCATTTAAAGTGTATAAAGCTTTCATGCCTTTAAATATAAACTAGATATTAGAAATAATTTTGGTCAGAGACATGCCTTTAATGGTACTTTTTATATCATTAACCTCCAGAAATTATTTCCTTAAATCAGAATTATCTTCCTACCTTTGCGATTATATTCATTAGTGATTTCTCAGTTTAAGTTAATGAAAAGGCTAAAAACTTTTTCAACGAAGGGCTAAAATGGGTAATTTCAAGAGAGGATTATCAATTTCTTTAGAATACCTTGTATATATTAATGAAATATATTTATTGAAATTAATCCATAGTAATCAACAGTAATTACTTGGCATTAAAATTCAAATGGTAAATTACGTAACAGTAATTGCTTTGCTTTATCATTTATTTATTTATGTATTTATTTATTTTAGGTTAGTCAAGTGAAGCAGTGTGAGTGGAGAAGGAATAGACTTGCATTATTTAAACATTATTTAAATGATAATGTAATAAAAACACAAAAACTTTATTAACCCTCTTTCACTTAAAATTCTAAAATTCGTTAGAACTGTCAAGCAAAAAGTAAAAGTACGAAAAAAAAAAGGGCATATATAATTCAATTCATGTAGTGGCAACAGTTAATTTGTTCTAAGATGTCAGTGTTTGTTTGTTTGTTTTTGAGACAGAGTCTCACTTTGTCACCCTGGGTAGAGTGCCATAGCGTCACAGCTTACAGCAACCTCCAACTCCTGGGCTTAGGCGATTCTCCTGCCTCAGACTCCCAGGTAGCTGAGACTACAGGCGCCCACCACGACGCCTGGCTATTTCTTTGTTGCAGTTTGGCCAGGGCCAGGTTCGAACCTGCCACCCTCGGTACATGGGGTTGGTGCCCCACTCACTGAGCCACAGGTGCCACCCTTGGTGTTTGTTTCTTAACAAATCCTGGAGGGAGGTCCTGGAACCAATCAATGAATTCAGGGAAAAACTACTATCAAATAGGCCAATTTCTGAAATAGCAGAGGATACACCAATCCTGAAAGGAGGAAAAGAGAAATGGGATGTGTTTTAAAAACGTAATGTCTGCATATCACTAAGAGATCTGATTCATCAGGTTTGGGAAACCTGTTCAAAATATTAAAGACAAACAACAGGGGCAGCGCCTGTGGCTCAGTGAGTGTTTTTCTAATTAAAAAAAACAAACAACAGGTTACTGGTAATTACAACTATTGAACATAAACTTAATATAGCCATCAAAAGTATTAATTACAAATCTTCTGTGAATTGGCATGCAAGTGTGTGACTTGGCACCTGCAGGATAACATTAGGCACCTCAGGAATGTGGAAAGTTTCCCAAAGTGTCTAAAGAATAACAACATTCATTAACTTGAATAATATTCAAAGTAAACTCTTAATTGATTCACGCAGGAATGAGTGTCCAAAGTTCAATGAGAACTCAGAGATGGCAGATTCTAGATGCAAAGATTGCTAAATGGCATAAATGATAGGAACAACAACAACAAAAAAAAACATTGAGAAAATTAAAATTAAAATGACTGGTCTGGTTTTCCTTCTGTTAAACTCCACTTAGACTCAGAGGGAACGGCAGTCCCTAGTTTAATCACCTGGAAACTCTAAATTGTAAAAGGAATGAATAATCCAGGAATGTTTGGTTGAATTATCAAGTCAAATAAATATTTAAACCACTAGCCTGTGTCCATTTGTGATTCTTCCTGAAATACTTGAAATTTTGGTTCATGAAAGTCCTTATTTACTTTAGGAGGCTCTCCCCTCTGGGAAAACTTGATCAAAGCAAACGCTCTTTACTAGACTTCAAAGCTGAGCTGTAGCGTTCACTCAAGCAATTTCCTTATTTCTTTTCTTTCCATCCACTATTAACATTTACAAACAATCTCAAAGATATTCAGACTTATGACATTTCTTTATTAGTTAATTCACACTTCAACCCACTTGGACACCACTTGTATTCTATTTACTCTGTTGAAATGGCATCAAAAGAACAATTGCTTAATCCAACAGTCTTGCTACAATAGTCTATTCACCTGGTTGTCTTTGCACAGGTCAATGTACCCAAACTTTGAAAACTTCCTTTTTCCATTTTGAAGACATAATATTTTTAGTTTTATTCTAAGGTTTCAGAACTGTTCCATCTTCTTAAGTGGCTCTTTCCAAGTTCAGAAAATTCCCCAAGATTTCATACCTAACCCTTGATTCTTATCTGTATCAAGGATCAGCTGCATTCCTACACCTGACACATCAAGTTTGCTGATCTTTATCTCCAACCCTCATGTCTCAGCTTTACTCCCACATTTCAGCTCATCGGCTGTACATTCTGTTCCACTGTCACCTCAAATTCACTCTTTGAAAATTGAACTCCTGATCTCTATCCTGGAAAATGAGCTTTCACCTTGAATTCCTTATTTCTGTTAATGGCACTGTCCTCTTCTAATCCTATATGCTTAGATCCTTTTCTCTTTTTTACTGTACTTGGCTGATCCTTCCCTCAAAATCTGTCTCCATTTCCATAGCTAGCACCCTGGTGTAAGTATCACAGCTCTTTGTCTCAATCCTGGAGATACAAACTCCTCAAGATCCTCTTTAATCTAGACTTGTTACTACGGGAGGGAAATAACTTTCTCATGCATGCATATGTGGTAGACAGTGGATAAACTATTTAATATCACTGAATAAAGAACTATTACAACTCCATCTCAGAAATTCCACAACTTCTAGATGCATTATGTTCTATGTTTCAATGATTAACAAGACAATGGAGCCTATTACAGGCACACTTTCAAAAAAACAAACCTGGACCAGTCTATGAAACATGATGGACAGTTTATTTTCTAGCAACGCTGCTAGCAGTTACTAACAATCGCACATTCCAAGTGAACAGTGCTTTTTAAAGGTACAATTCTAATGGGCCTATTAAATTTTGGTTCACACTGCATACAACATCAATCAAAGCTGCAGAAAGGAGTTAGTGAAATATGTTTTCTAGTACAGACTGAGTATCTCTTGTAGGAAATGCCTGGAACCAGTACTTTGGCTCTTTTTGGATTTTGAAATATTTGCACATATGTAATGAGATATGGGAATGAGAGCTAAGTCTAACTACAAAATTCCTATTTCATATGTACTTTACACATATAGCTTGAACGTGCATGAAACAAAGTTTGTGTGTCCTGAACCATGGGAAAACAATGGTGCTGCCCACCTCAGCCATCCATGTGGACAATCTCTGGTTGTTTGGCATTCCTGAATCTGAATTTATGATACTGATAAGCAACCATTTTCTTACACTTATTCACACATGAGTATTTAACAGTAAAAAATATGACATCATTAACACAGTAAAAAAATAATTTGTAATTAAGTAGCACAGTAGCTTAGTTGTTAAACAAAAGCAGCTGAAGGGGATGGAAGGACTCTTCTCCTTTCAGATGCTGAATTAACTGTGTGTTATGCACCTGTGTTTTGACTTTGACTCATGCCTTGTCCTATTAAGTTAGGCATGAAATTTTCCACTTGTGGGATGGCAGGTCAATGCTTAAAAAGTTTTGGATTTTGGGCTGTATGTGGTGGCACATGCTTGTAATCCTAGCACTTGGGGAGGCCAGGGTGGGAGCATTGCTTGCGACCAGAAGTTTGACACCAGCCTGGGGACCATAGTGAGACTCTATCTTTATAAAAAAAATTGTAAAAACTAGCCACAAGCAGTGGTGCACATCCCAGCTACTTGGGAGCCTCGGGTAGGAGGATCCCTTGAGCACAGGAGTTTGAGGTTGCAGTGAGCTATGATCACACCATTGCACTGCAGCCTGGGCAACACAGCAAGACTCTGCCTCTGAAATTTAAAAAAAAAAAAAAAAAGAATAGAAAAAAAGGTTTCGGATTGTGAAGTGAAGCATTTCAAATTCTGCATTTTGGGATTAGGACTGTTTAACCTGAAGGCAGTATTTGGCTTCTTCCGTATTTGTTACACTCTTAGTGTGTATGCGTGTGTGTGAAATCCATTTTATCTAAATGCTAATGACAGTATATACAGAGGGTGCCAAAAAATACTCATTTTAAGAGATATTATCTATGTATTATTTTTCAAAATTGAACTGAATTATGGTAGCAATGTGTAGTAAGATGTTCACTCAAAAGACGGTGTTAATCGAATGAATGTGAGCATCATCACGCACTAGGCGGGACCAAGAAAATGGCAGACACACAGCTGTCACCTGAGGAGTACAAGGCCATTTTGAAGTAGTATTTGAAATTCCAGACAAGTGGGAAAGTACAATAACAATGGATGCATGAGTATGCAAGAGAACCTCCGATATGCCTAGCAATTGAGTGGAGATGTGATAAGCTGGAGGTGCGTGATACTGTGCGTGACATGCAAAAGGGAAGATTGGAGGCCTCAAAATGTTGCTCAGTCAGTATTTCTCCATAATCAGATGTGTCAAGCTGTCCCCCTGGGTAGAGTGCCGTGGCATTACAGATCACAGCAACCTCCAACTCCTGGGCTCAAGCGAGTCTCTTGCCTCTGCCTCCCAAGTAGCTGGGACCACAGGTGCCCGCCACAACACCCAGCTATTTTTTGGTTGCAGCCGTCATTGTTGTTTGGCGGGTCTGGGCTGGGGATTCGAACCTGCCACCTTAGGTGTACGTGGCTGGCGCCTTAGCTGGTTGAGCTATAAGCGCCGAGCCGATGGCAACAACTTTGAGCACCTCTTGTAACTACAGCAGTCAAATGTGACTTTATTCATCTTTGTTTTCGATATATGTTGAGGATTACAATTTTAATAGAGTTTTTCCTTTTTGTACAGTGTGTGTATAATTTTTTGCACCCTCTCTAAAGTGTTTACACCATATTTCTCACAATACACCAGAAATCCTGAAGTTATTCATTGTACAGATCCTTTTGAAATAAACTTGGGAGAGGATTTTACCATCTTTGGGTCACTGATTGTCATGTCTAAAATCTGAAGGTATCATAGATGACACTTCCAAGAAGAACTTGTTAAAAGAAAATAAGATTTTTAAGAACCCTATGTTGTTAGATATTTAACTACAGAAGTTATAGCTGAAAGGCAGCTTAGGGTACTTACTTACCAGATAAAAGGTTTAAAGGTAATTTACAAAATTTTTTCTTTTAAAATTTCTAAAACTTATCCTACTATCTAGAGCTTGAATACTCAAAAAAAGAATTTACTTCTTTTGTGTCTCTTTGCACTTAGGCTGCACATTACATTTTTGGGAATAGTGGAAGCTAAGATCCACCTGCAGGGGAAATCCTAAAAATAAATTAAAGGAAATTTTCTCTTTGGTCATGAATATGGCTAAATTTGCAGGGTTTTTTTGACCAGGGCCAGGTTTGAACCTGCCACCTCCCGTATATGGGGCTGGCGCCCTACTCCTTGAGCCACAGGCGCCGACCAATATAGTTAAATTTGCACACAACTCAGTGAGGACACATTGTAATTTTACTATAATGTCATTAATATATTAGTAAATTTATTCCTTAATGATATAAGGAAAACAAAGAAGAACATAATCCATTAACAAATAAAATAAAAATAATAATATCTGGTGATATAAATTTGATGGAATGCTTTAAAAAGAACTGTCAAAAATGAAACTGTATGAAGGAATTGTTTACCTCACCTTTTTAGATCTCCAACAACGGCAGTACACTGCTTTATCTCCCAAATCCTCCATGTCAAAAGCATGTACTATCTTGGGGTTGTCTTTCTGGATGTGAAGGTTGACCATCGCCTTACTGCGATGATCTTTGATAGAAAATCTTTTGTAAGCTAGATAACCAATTGCAGCTGTTCCAGCAGCAATGGTGACTGCTGCAATCCATTCAACTAGAGCAGGGAAGGAAAACAGGAATAAGTATCAAAACCATAACATATACTAATATTCTTAAGAAATCCAGTTTCGATTATTGAACATCAACAGTCCAGGTTTTTAATGTTAATAAAATGACCAGAACACTTTGGTATAGCAGTCCTTTGTTAAGACTGTCCCTAGACTTACTGAGCCATTGTGTATTTTCTGTTTAGTGATGACAGCTAAATTAAGACTTAAGAGGGAAACCTTGTTTTAATTTTATTATAGCTGGAGGAAAAAAATCAAAGCTCAATAATCTTTTAAAAGTTGTTTATAAATGGCTTTTAACATGTGAGCCTGCAAGTATCTATTGCTTAAAAAAAATACACACACCTGTGACGTGAAAATTCACATTACAGACAAGACAAAAAGAAAATTGGAAGGTGATTATGTTAACAAAACAACTTATCATAGTCCTTTAAAATAGTTCTCTTAAATAGAAATTTTTAAGTGAACCAAAAATCAGCTCCTGCATAAAACTACTGGTATCCAAAGGAAAAAAATGTGAAAGGACAAATAAAACAAAGCCACCCTTAATGTTAAACATTCAAAGGAATATATCTAGCAGAATTCTGTGTCTCAAAGTTATCTAGAGGTGTCTTTTTAAAAATCTCAAATTGCTTTCTCATTAAAATAAAAATTAGAATGTATTAATTGCTTATTTTGTAAACATAGTTAATATAATAACAGCTATATTCTCATTTAATAACTTCTAAATTGACTTGGTACCTGTGGCTCAAATGGCTAAGGCGCCAGCCACATACACCTAAGATGGCGGGTTTGAATCTAGCCCTGGCTGGCCAAACAACAATGACAGCTGCGACCAAAAATAGCCTGGCGTTGTGGTGGGTGCCTGTGGTCCCAGCTTCTTGGGAGGCTGAGGCAGGAGACTCGCTTGAGCCCAGGAGTTGGAGGTTGCTGTGAGCTGTGATGCCACAGCACTCTACCCAGGGCGATAGCTTGAGGCTCTGTCTCAAAAAAAAAAAAAGAAACTTATAAATTCATCTGAATTCCCCACACACTTCATTTTAAATCTAATGATATTATTCTACTTTCTAGAAACAAAAAATATTGTTTCACTAACAAGCCATCTATTCTTTGGTTGCTTTTAGGAGTCCTCAGAAACCCAAGGGTTTAACAACTACCCCAGCTCCAGGCAATGATGGAGAGAAGGAAGTCCTGCATAATCTGGTTAGCCTCAGCCTCAGAGGAGAGTTGTCTATTCCCAGCATGGAGTGGGCTGTAGGGAGAAGTTAAACACGGGTCAGGATAAACACACTGGACTGCGTCCCAGCACTTCCTGAGTCAGATCTTCACAATGTTTGAAATAAGTTCCCAGACTATCAAATAAAGCCCTAGAGAGATAAGTACCAAAACACATTCCAAAGCCAAATAAAAACACATAATGAATAATTTAGTCTATGGCTTCTTTTGCCCTAGCGAGTCAAATTTCTTATTTTCACTAATGTGATCAATCACCCTATCTAAAAGTGTCTTACATAAAATTGGAGCTCCTTTTCACAAAATTCTAAGGGAAAGGAACAACCATTCTCACATTTAATTTCATGTATCTTAGTTTCATCTTTTAGTTTAATACTCTAGAAAAAATTTTTCCTGGATGGTGCCTGTGCCTTAGTGACTAGGGCGCCAGCCCCATATACTGAGGGTAGCAGGTTTGAACCCAGCCCCAGCCAAACTGCAACAATAACAACAACAACAAAAACTGCTGACCTATTGTGGCAGGTGCCTGTGGTCCCAGTTAACTTGGGAGGCTGTGGCAAGACAATCGCCTAAGCCCAAGAGCTGGAGGTTGCTGTGAGCTGTGATGCCATAGCACTCTACCAAGGGAGACAAAGTGAGACTCTGTCTCTAAAAAAAAAAAAAAATTTTTTTTCCCTTAGGGCCGTGATGTTTTATTAGGTCAAGAGATGTGTGAGTTATATATGATTCACAAGGTCAGGGGCTCAAAACTACTGAACTTAAATACAACTCACAGTGCAGTTAATGTGTTAACAGTTTAGATTTTTGTCAAATGTTTCTAATTAACATGGATTCTATTTTCGACCACAGTAGTATTTTTCTTTACAAAGTAATCTGGATTGTTTTCCTTCTCACAGCATTTCCATTCCTCCTTGTTAAAATCCCCTAAAATAAACATTAATGTTTTGTCCTTTCCAAGTGTTGCATGACTGGGAAAAAAAGTTAATAAGTCACTTGACAGCTTCAAACCTTTGACCTCATCAGAGGATGTTTTTTAAGTAGGTACACATTTTGTGTAGATTTGTCTTGAATTTTAGTTCTGCTTCATGGTATTATCCCGTGGTGCCTCCAAGCAGGGGTGCAACCTTGCTGTGATTGCTAGCTAGATGCACAATCTTCCTTTCTGAGGCATTAATTACCAGGGACCTTTTAAAAAATATCCCCGAGGTCAAGAACTATATCAACCCTCTTCTTAGCTAATGGAAAGCTACTCTATCACAAAATGGGGTAAAAACATTGCTTTGCATAGTATATGCTCGGTCCTCAATGTTTGCTGAGTGTTGTCCTTAGTACAAACATATAAGGGGGTAATATCTCCAAAGACTAAAATCTCCCTAAATTTTGTTGATTGTAGTAATACTTTACTTTTTAGGTGAATTATGAAGTACTCTCTAACAGGTATGTTTGAACGGTGCCTATCTATTGCAAAAAGTCCTGGGATTTAAAGAACCACCATAATTGGCTACTATTGTTTCATGATATAAAAAAAGAATCCTATAGGAATTTCTGTGAAATTCCTAAATGGTCAAAAAAATCTCTCCTGGTCATTAAAACATTCTTCATAGAAGAATGTCATATGGTGACATTAAAAAAAAAAAAACAAAACACCTTACCTTCCTTGGACTTTTTGACTGGGGCGGGGAGGGTAGGGGAGAATGACAGAATAACTGACATGGAAAAGAGGTAACACCTAAGGCATCCCTTAAAAAAATGGGAACTGACTCTGGCTGTTACCCAAGAGCAGTTGCCCCAGGGGGAATCAAAACATCCGCTCTGTGACCCTACCCCATGGCAAGGGTCACTTACAACTCTATGCAAATGTCATAGCACCCTAAGTGTGGTAGGAAAATAGCTTTGTATTTGCTCCACGGTCTTAAGAAATTCCATTTCTCCCCCCTCCCTTCCCAAATTCGAATTCTCTAATCTCATTAGGGAAAAACAAGAGTTCCCAGAAGTCTAAAGAAAAATGTTGCTATTTTATCACTTCAGGACTGCAGGCTGAATCAGTCTTCTCTGGCAAAAAGCTAGGAATGCCACTGGCAACTCTAGGGGGAAAAGGGGAAGTAAACAGAGACAAAAATGATGACAGATTCAAAAGTCAACAATGAGGATACAGAAAGAACTGAATACCTAAGGAAGGAAACAAGTACAAATAAAAAAACCCAAGTAACATTCCATCCTTGATAGAGTTTATGCCTATTAAGTGCAGTCACAGTTGCAGACCTAACAATGAACTTTACCAAGACCCAATTTTTAAAGATATTTCAGCTGACACCAGATACTGACTCAGAACTGGGATCCAAAAAAATCCTGATCATTATTTCTACCTCTTATAGTTTATCCTCACTTTCTTTTCCATAGACATATCTCAAGGTACAGTTAGTTATTCCTATAGTTAGGTCAGCCCACCACCCAACCAGACCTTGCTCAACAATGCTTTCTATCTATACAAATACCATTAAAGACCAAAAATAACATTTCTAAATAATCTCTCCTCCCCGCTTTTTATTCTTCCCTTGGCCTAATAATACCATATAATCTTTGGTTCTCTCTCTTAAATATTCAGATAGAGAAAACATGAACTTGTTCCCAAAGCGCACACTCTTATTTATAACCTAATCCTTGGCCTTTCTTTACCATATGGATTATTTTGCTTTAATTGAGAAATCTCACTCTACTTCTTTTCCTTTAGCACCTTTGCTGCCCCCAAACTGCCCTCTCTTGCCTACTGTCAACTGCCACAGAATCAGAATGTTCCTCGTATTCCATCAGGAGAGGAGGAGGGGGAGGGACGCTGTATTTACTCCCATTCCCTCCCTTTAGATCTCCCACTGGCTCTGTAATGTTTTTTTCCTCAAGGACTGGCACCCAGGTAGTATCCAATGTTATTTGATTAAAAGGAAATAATAGACTAATAATTTGAATTTGTAATTCCATCTGTCAATCTTACCATCACAGTGTTCTTATGCCAAATGACTTAATTTTGTCCTTTTCTTAACCTATCGTACCAAAGTGCAGAATTTGCTTCCTGAGATTCACATTTTTATTACAGATATACATAGGAAAAGGTCATATAAACACAGAGCAAGAAGAGATTTTAAAGATGCTGGAGTAATGCTGCCACAAGGCAACCGCCGCGAATAGCCACCAGAAGCTGGAAGAAACAAGAAATGGATTCTTGAGTTTCCCTTCATCCTTCCTCCCACCCTTACCCCATCCCTGCTACTAGATTTAAAAGAAAAAAAAAAGGATTTTCCCCTACAGACTTCAGATGAAGCATGGGCCCTGCCAACACCTTGGTTTCAACGCAGTGATACTAATTTCAGGCTTCTGGCTACCAGTAATACGAGAAAATAAATTTGTTGTTTTATGCCAAACAAAACACAACTTTTATGATGGGACATTTCAAACATACTTAGGGAATACTATAATGAACCCCGATTTATCCTCACCCAGCTCTAATAAGCATTAACTAATGGCCAATTTTGTTTAATCTATAGTTCCATATCCTACTCCCCTCATTTATTTATTGTTTAAAACCCATAAGGGTTATCTCTTTTATCCACACTTTCCTTCTCAGACAAAATTCCTTAGAAAGTGGGGATCATGCCTATAGTTTATTCTATTTGGGTACAGGTGAATTTGTCTAAAGGTTGAATGTAAATGTCTTAGCATAACAATTATGAGAAAGACATGATGGCTATGTTGGCCACCTGGATGAGAGTTTTCCAAACTGCATATAGAAGTAACACACTGTATCCTATGAGAGAATTAATGTACACAATTATGATCTAATAAAAAAAAAAGTAGTAACTCTTTTGTAGTCTCACTATGTTGCCCTCAGTAGATTGCTGTGGCATCACAGCTCATAGCACCTGAAACTCTTGGGCTCAAGTGATTCTCTCATCTCAGCCTCCCAAGTAGCTGGGACTATAGGCACCCACCACAACACGTGGCTATTTTTTTGTTGCAGTTGTTTAGCTGGCCTGGGCCGCATTTGAACCTGCCACCTTCAGTGTATGCAGCTGGTGCCATAACTACTGTGCTACAGGTGCCCAACCAAGAGTTACTACTTTTAATAATTCAATGAATTTAGTGAACCAAAACTGTATTTTAACATATTGAGGTTAAGTGAATTGGACGATTATAAATTAGCTTCAATAAAATGCACAAAGGTATTTTATTTAAAAAGTAAGAATAATTTATTTAAAAGGCAGAATAAGAATGTTTGAAATGTAATTTTGGTTACATGTATTATAATGATCAGGATTTGGGATGGATAACAAAACATAGTAGATAGACAAATCCCCATTTTGTAACCTGAAGGTAAAACGGAGTATGAAAAAATAAATGATTTCATGGAAAAGCAGGTTAATCTTTTAAAATAGTTGGTTTAGATTTTTTTTTTTTTAAGATGGGGGTGAATTATGAGTGATCTTAGGCTGAAAAGAAGAAAACCCTTATGAGGGGCCCTGGCAGGGGTGGGCAATCTGTCGCCTTTTGATTTCAAGATTGTTCTTTTTCAAGGAAGCACCAAAGGAGGCAAGAAAAGCTTCATGTTTCTCTGTTGCACCCCTTTTGATAAAGGGATTTGTTCTGTAAAATTTGGATTCAGTCAAAAGGCCACACTTAAGGACCTAGAAGCCACGGTTCATCTATAGCTCCATATCCACATGTGTTGTCCTTAAGGCCCCAGGTTCCCCATCCCCTGAAGAGCAACAGGCATCAGTGAGGTAAGAAAATGGCATCTGGCGGACAGAAGGAATGGCCTCAGATTTATTCTCTTCCTTTCAAACAGAATGGAAGGTGTTAAGGATGAGAGCAGATTCAATAAGCTTTGGAGGCAGCAAGAAGCAGGATATGTTCAGAAAGGTTTACTGGGTGAGAGGAAGAATCATAAGAGAAGCTCTAATAAACTGGTTGCACTGACCATACTGATATCAAGAGCCATCTCCCTGACCTGGTTCTTTGACACTATTTCAATTCCAGTCATTCATTCTTAATGCCTCTTCCGGCTTCCAATGCTGGGCTGAGCCCCATTAAGTTTCATTTATAATTCATCCATTACTTTTCTTCTGAGTATAAACAAGAATTCTGCATCCATATATGCATTCTTTTATTTTTTTACTTAACATATAGTGCTTACCACTGTCACATATCATTCTATGCCCTTTGGAATGATGAATTCATTTAATTGAGAAGAGACATGATCGTCTTCCCCCAAATTAAAAAATCTAAATTGATTTGCAACCCGTAAGAATGAATAGGTCAGTTTAAAAATTGAGAGAACCACATTTTTATGAGATCTAAACATTTATAGGTGGGTTCCCAAGACATTCTCTATCCTTACCTCACCTACCAGGAAATCTGAGGAGGAGGTGCTGGTCAAAGAGATTTACAATGGCTTTGGGGCTCTATTTACAGTCCTGACAACAACCATTATGCTTTTCAGTGAAATAAAAAGTATTCACTTCTCATATCAAAATTGAATACTTCCAGTTAAAGCTAATATTCTGCTTCACTATGCAATTTCCTATCCCTTAGTGGCAAACTAATGAGAAAGTCACCTTAAAATTCTCCTATGGTTACCTTAAAAAAAAAAACAAACTTGTTTTGATTGCAAAAAAGATCAGCTTGGTTTAAGTTTAAGGGGTTCATCCATCTCATATCTCAATCATATGCTACTTAAGTAGATTTCAGTGCTCACATACTCAAAAATTTTGACACAAATTTCAGCATCTTTGGCCCACCTCAAACATGTGCAAACAGTCTTCTCACAAAATTAAAAAAAAATCAGCAGCACAAGTCACATGGACACCTCATTTCACAGTTACCTAAATCCCAAGAAAATACAGTTTTTAAACAAACACACATTAATCACTATTTTAAATGCACCAAGGAGCCTCTAATTAAAGGAGTTTCAAAATGAGTATTCTTAGAAATAATTTTTGCAAATAATCACCTCTTTATCACTAATTAACTAAGAAATGTCATGGATTATTACCCTCACTCATTATGCCAGGTAAATTTTATCAACACAAGTGTAACTCTCCAATTTATGCAATCTACCTATTACAAAATTAGGACTCAAAGTAGTAGGGACTTTTTAACAGAACCTGGTGCTAAAGATGCTCAATATTTACTTAAGAATCAATGGGGCTAGTTTAACTTTTGGACAATTTCTTTACCTTTACTCAATTACAGTTACAGGTAACCAGACCTTGAGAAGTAGCATTTTATACCTGAGCAGACAGACCACAGTATATTGTGTAGCTGGTACCCAGCATATAAACAATCATAACATCACCAAGAATTATTATAAAGGAAAACTCCACACTAAACGACTTCTCTTAATTTTTATTGAACTTTCTGCGAGGCGTTGTTTCCAAGCACAAGGGAGGGATGGCTAAGAAAGCTAAAGGCTCAACAAGCTCGGTTTTCAAACCTGTACCCTGGACTACAGCCACCAACCGCAAAATGCCACGGGCATTAATAAAAACCTGGGAAAACTGAAGACCTTGGATTGGGTTTCTTCCCTTCAGAAAATCTGCAAAACTAAGATGTGATTAGTCATGCATCACTACAGTACTGCAGGAAATCAATGTTGTGGCTCCACGCTGATGTAGACGTGAGAAGGGAGTACGTGTTTCCCACCTTCTCTCCCTTTCCTTTCTCTCTCTCTTTCTTTTTTTTTCCCTCTCAGGCCTCGTGACTTAATATAGAAGCATTTTAGGGGAGAACAGGAGAAGCGAGCAGCGGAGTCATTAGGTTTTAGGGTTTGGCCAGTTAGGGGAAAATGTAGACTGGAGATGCCTACACGGCCCCACTCCACTTATGCCTTGTTGACACCGTCCATCCATACCCTAACCTCGCTCCTTTGCCGGGTCCTGAACAGATGCCGCAGCCAGGCCGAGCTTGTCCTTCTGCACCTCAAGGTTACAGGACCGAAGAGCGCGTAGTGCAGCGATAACAACCCAGATGAGCGGCAGGCAGTGCAACTGGTGCGCAGGCCGCCAGCCTCACCCACCCCCCGGCCCCACTTCACCTCGTACGCTGGAACTGGAAGACAGACTCATGGCGCCGTCGCTTGCAAGGCGTGTGCACCGGATACTGAGCACAAACTAGCTCGCGCAGTCAGCGGGAGCCAAGGTGAGAAAGGCGTACTAAGGGCACCGACACCAGCCTGTTACTACGCAGGCGCCGCGAAGGGCAGAAAGCACGTGTGCGACAGATCGCCTCCCCCCCCCACAGTTGACTCTGAGCATGCGTGGAGTTGTGTCCTGGCCCTTAAGGAAGTGGAGTCTGAATTTTGACAGCCGCGGGGCGGGGGGGATGGGTGAGCTTTAGAGAGGAAGCAACTGAGTTTGCGCAACCCAGAGGGGCGGGGCCCTGGGAATGGAAAGTCTAGGCTAGATTTTCGGTCTCTTCCCGGTATTCGCGTTTCTGGAGGCTGAGGCAGGTGCTACGGTACTAGGACCCTTAACCTTAGTCAGATACCTAAGGTTTTACACCAGATTTTCTTGTTCAGTTCTTGTTTGATTTTACCTGCAAGACCAGGTCCAGTTTTCATATAAAATGCCAGTGGCAGACATGCAGGCATCAGTAATTGAGTCCTGCACATGAACCTCTTGTTTCCGGCGTGCATCCATTCTTCTGCTTTTCACCTTGTTAGGCATCAACTCAGGACCTTAAAACCTGCGCTATGTGAAGGTCGAGTGGGGAGGGAAAAAAACCCCCCTAATTTCCTTTTTAAAAAAAATTAGGCTTCTCAGCCTGAAATTACTGTGGGTTCCAAAGGTTATATATACACACACACATACACTAGCGGCTTACCGGCAGCACTTTGGGAAGGGGTACAAAGATTAATTTGAAGGGTGTTTTGAAGGCCTGTCTTCTAACCAGCCGCAAATTTTTATTTCTGTTTTTGTGTGCGGGGTGCAGGGTAGCAGCTGGCTGCAGTTAAGGGTGCACCGCTACTGCCTGCCGAGTCTCCTAATACCTGACTCCTCCTCACACTCTGTAGCCGTGGAGTCTTTGATCCCGCCGCGATACACGCTCAAAAGCGCATTGAACCAATGAAGGCACAACAGCTTCAGCGGTACTGTAATAGCAGCCAGGGTCGGGGCGAGGCCAGCGAATGCACCGGCCCCATCCTTGTGGCGGTCGGTAGGCCCCAGCCAGCCCCGCCGCGGGGGTCCCGTCGGGCGGCTTCTGGGCATGCTCAGTAGCGGCGGCGGCCTTGGGTCGCGCAGTCGGAAGCTCACGCCGGCAGCGGCTGTGCAGGCGGCGCTGACGCGCGCGCGGCAGCTGAGGGGACTGGAGGACGGCGGGAGGGGGCGGGGACGCGGGAGGCGGGGCCGCCGTCGCGGTCTGGGCCCCGGGGAGCGAGGGGTGCTGCTGCTGTCGCCGCTGAACTGCTAGGTTCCGTCTCCTGGGCAGCGCCGGGGGCGGCGGCCGCGGCGGCGAAGGAGCGGCAGCCGCGAGCCGCGCTCCGCCGAGAGTTGGGCAGGGGAGCACCCGCGCCTCCGCGGCGTCATGGGCCCCCTCCCCGGGCCTCAGCGGGCACCAGTCGCGGGAATCCCCGGGCCTCCTCTCGCCCGAGCTTGAGCGACCCCCGGGTTAGCCGGCGTCCCCTCCCTTGCCGTATTTTTGCCTGCTCTCGCCGCCGCTACTGCTTCTACTCTCCGTTATGGCAACAGAGCCGCCATCCCCCCTCCGGCTTGAGGCCCCCGGCACCCCAGAAATGCGGACCCCACCAGCGAACGAGGACACCCCCGAGGACACCACGCAGCCAGCGGGCAGTAAGCTCCGTTTCCTCAACGGCTGCGTGCCCCTCTCGCATCAGGTGGCCGGGCACATGTACGGGAAGGACAAAGTGGGTAAGTGAGGGTGACACGGGGCTTGCCGCTCCCCTTCCGCCTCCGCAAGCCCCCTGGCCGGCAGAGGCAACCTGGCGCTCCCGTGCCGGCCTGGACCCCGGCTCCCCACCGCGGTTTGCAGGCCATCCCGTGGCCCCTTCCGCTCAGCCCCGTAGCCTCGCGGCGGGTACAGAAGGGGCTCGGAAAGCGGGGTGATTGGAGGGTGTAAGGCGTCAGACTGGCAGCAAGGATGTCGAGGAGAGGCATGCCCGGTCTCACTCGCCCCCAGGGGGGGAGGTTGTTGATTGGAGACGGTGTTGTTAGTAAAAATAAGGAACTACATTTTTACTGGACGGGGAAGTAAATGCTCTCCCGAGCACAAGATCTGTTTATTATAGGCAAGTAGCTATTGCAAAAGAAAAGGAATGAAATGCAGATGATGCTAATCTAGTAATTCTCTGCTGGGTGCAGCTGCATAGCTAGAGGGAAATTAAAAAAAAACAGCCCCCCTTTTTTAGTGGTGCGTGGGGGAGCCTGTTAGTTTATCTGGGAACTCTCCCTATCCCTGGAAGTTTTCTGGTGTCTCCTCGGTTTCTCTGGGAGGCGTGGTTCCAGTAGTGCAGAAACTCGGATTAAGAGTAGGAAATACACGTTGTACTAGAATGGTATACAGATAAAATATTCAGTTATTTTTGTTCATTTATCATGGACTTTGTATTATATTTTGTGAATGCACAACTTTTAGAGCCTCTCACACAGTTCAGGAACTGTAATTCACTTCGTTTACTTAACAGTTATTTTTCTGGGCCATGATTACCTGAGGAGTCAGATGGATGAGTATTGCTGATCTTTGACCCGGAAGAGCCACTAGAGATAATTCAGTTTATGCTTGTAGTACTTAGATGAGGTAACTGAGGCTAAGCCTGGTGAAGTGACAAGCCTAAGGTTACACAGCTACTATGTGTTAGAATCACTAAACTAAGAATTATATCTTGGAGTACTGTTTTTTCCACCTTGTAATGTTCTTGTAGAAACAACTCAACTCAAATGGATGAGTATAATTTGAATGTTGAAAATTAGGCATTATAGGATCTTGGCTTTTTCTATACCTTTTTCATAACTAAATTGTGAATTCTTTGAGGGTAGGGATTAAATGTATTTATTCCCATTGCCATGTACAGAGATTGGGACTCAACATTAGGAAATGTTGAAAGAGTGTAAATTGGCAATTCTTTTTGTACAAAGGTTCAGAATAATTAGTGTTCACAAGGTGCTTAGCATAGTTATTTCCTCCTGTGTTTTTGTTGTCTGGTAATGAGAGTTTGAAAGTGCTCTTGGGGTTACTCTTAACAGAGGAATCCCTTTTGATTTATATCAATAAATTGTGATGATAATGTTCTTAATATTCTAGATGCCTGAAAAAGTAATTGTGTCTCTACAGCTCCCTAGAGATTGATTTATATGCAAAGGAGAATAAATAATCCCAACAAAGAAAATCTCAGTGATGATTGTCACATAAGAATATAACCACTGCTTACTAAAGTATGTAATAGTGATTCTGTTCAGAGAATTATCTCCACTTAATTGCACATGTCCCCTGAATGTGACTTAAAGCTACATTGTAGTGTCTGAAAGTTAATTTATCACCCACATTACCTAATTAAAGGAGTAGTTTAGGTTCCAAAAGTAGCCCTTAATTATTGTATTCAATTTAAAAATAAACTTTTTCCCCTCAGTTTTGTAAGGTTCTTTTGACTAGGGACTGTCTTTGTGATACCAAGTAAAATGTCTAGAACATACTGTTCTAGCAACTTGATACATATTTGCTACATTTAATTCTCAGGTATTTACACAATCCTGAATGTATTATTGTTAGTAAATGGACACCTGAGTAATAATAATCTTCCTTATTCATAAAATGAACAGCAAGGTGGTCAGTAATTCAAAGTTCAACAATTGTGTCTCTTCACTGTCATAAATCATGTATAGTTTTAAAGTACATCATTTGGATTATACTTTGGTCTGTCAATTACAGGCATGATGTTGTCTCAAAAAAAATAGTTCTCAGATATGCTTTGTTAAAGACGTTGTGTGGGTACTTGTTTTGGTTTTGTTTTTAAATTTTTGTTACTATCATTAGGTAACAAGGATTTTTCAATTTAGGATTAATATCTTACCTATTTCCAGAAAGGATTTGTTGGCTTTGTTAGTTTAAAAACTAAAAATGTGGAACTGGATAGAACAAAGGTGCTAGAACAGAAAAACCTACCTTGGGATATAGCTAAGTAATGAGAATATTAGTAGTCCTGATTTCAGAGTTATTTTTTATGTTCTTCACTGGAGTCATTTCATCAAAGTGTGTTTCACTCTTAGTTCTAAGGTTATAAAGTGTTTGGTTTCTTAAAATTGTAAAAGTAGTACTTCATCTTTTAGGAAAAACTTCAGTTTAAATAATGCCTCCTTTCTCCCTACTCATTAGCCTAGCCTTGGTAACTATTTCCTGTCCATCAGTTTAGACCTTGCTTTCTGGGCACATAAACACATTAACACAATTCTAATTTTTCATACAAATAATCTATCAGTTACTGTCTAGCAACTTTTCTTAGTCTATATTATATCACGTAGTATACCTACATTGTTGTACTTAATGACATACTTCATTCTTTTTAAAAACTGTGTTATGTTCTGTGGTGTGGCTGTATCATAAGTTAACTATTTTTCAACTGGTAGATGTGACTTTTCACCATTGTTCTCCTATTAAAATAGTGTACATATTAAACATTTGTGTACATTATAACATAACTTTCACATTGTAACTGATTTCTGTAGGAAGTTTTCACAAAAGTGTAATAGCTATTTAAATTCCCAAAGTGCACCAAGATTAGCTTAAAATCCTTTTTTCTATTAAAAAGAAATAGGTTAGAGTGCAGTGGTGTGGTCATAGCTTATTGTAACCTCAAACTCCTGGGCTCAAGTGACCCCCACATTGGCCTTCTATAGTGCTGGGATTATAGGGGTGAGTGACTTTTGCTGTTTTAATACTTAATATGTAGTATGTACCATTAATTTCTTTCAAAACTTGTTGAAGTTTTAAATAAGTGGTTGATATGTGGTATTTTGTATTTTGAGCCAATTTAGGATACAGAAATGAAGTAGTATATAGGGAAAATAAGGATTTAAACTGATAGTTATTGAGGGGGAGCCAAAACTATTCTGAATTATTAGTTTATTCTTATTAGATATCCTCTAAAACTAAATGACTTTAAATAACTTCGAATTTATGGCAAGTTTTAATAACAATAGAACTTCACATTTTGCTAAATTTATTATCTATCTCTGTGAATCTTATTTTTTTACTATTTCCAAGTAGGTTTACTTGGTAGTTCAGCATGTATTTCCTAAGAACATGGTATTCTCTTGTGTAGCCACAGCACGTTTATCAAATAGAAGAATTTAACAGTAATATAATACTTTATAATCCATATTCTGATTTTATCATCTGTTGTTAGTGTACTATCTTTTATCATTTTTGTTTTTCTCAGTACAAGATCCAGTCCACCATCATTTATTGTATTTCGTTATATCTTTAGTCTCTCTTCATTTGGAATATATCCTCAGTGTTTCTCTGTGCTTTATGAATTGTCAGTTTTGAAGACTACAGGCCAGTTATTCTGTGAAATATTTTTCAGTTTGAGTTTCAGGTAAGTCCTTATGATGAGACTCAGGCTATGCATTTCTGGCAGAAACATATCATAGTGTGTCCTTTCATCACACCTGAAGGCCCGTGGTGTCTGTCTGCCTCTTACTAGTGGTATTAATTTTGGTAATCTGGTTCAAGTGTGGACCAGACTTCTTCAATATATAATTAATATTTTTCCTTATGTAATTATATAAGCTATTTGTGGGGAGACACTTTAAGATCATGCAAATATGCCAAGGCTGGTGGTTTGAACCTGGCCCAGGCCTGCTAAACTATAATGACAACTGCAACAAAAAAATAGCCAGGTGTTGTGGTGGGTGCCTGTAGTTCCAGTTGTGAGGCTGAGGCAAGAGAATCACTCGATTCCAAGAGTTTGAGGTCGCTGTGAGCTGTGGTGCGAGGGCACTCTACTAAGGGTGACATACTGAGACTGTCTCAAAAAAAAAAAAAGAAATCATGCAAATATGTGGATACTCATCAAACTTTACTCCTAGATTTGATTTCTATTGATTCTTACTGGAAGCATTGTTTTTTAAAAGAGACTGAATCTAGCTCTGAGCTTAGGTTATAATTTAGTGGTGCAGTCATAGCTTACTGCAGCCTATATTACAACCTAAACTCAGAGCTAGATCAGTCTCATTGGGCTCAGTCCTCCTGCTTCAGCCTTCCAACTAGCTGGAACTGCTCCTATGTGCCACCACACCTGGATAATTAAAAAATTTTTTTGTAAGGGGGGGATGTCTTGGTAAATTGCCAGGCCTGGTTTTGAACTCCTAGCCTCAAGTCATACTCCCATCTTGATCTCTCTAAGTGCTAGGATTAGAGGGTTGAGCCATTGCCCCTGCCCTGAAGCAGTCTTTACTTTGATAGTTGCAAAATTGTGACTTTTCCAATTCTATCACTCCCTCAACTTCAATAGTCCATATTCTGAGAAATAGCTCTCCTTTTACTTTTGTGTATATCCTTATTTATGATCATTGTGCATCATGGATTCCCATTTTGTAACATGTCATAACCTATTATAGTACAAACAGTAAATATAGTATAATAGTTATAAAATATTTACTATGTGTTGGTTATCTCTTTGTAATATTTTGTGATAGGTACATTTAGCTACAATTTTCCATTTTCCCTAGTTTAAGGGGGGCTTTTGGGATACCCTATAATTACTTTGCTGCTCAAATTGTCCCAAGTATTGGGAGCACTTTCTTTCATACCAAATTATTTTCATATATAAGTTCATTGTAGATGTGAATTTATTTCTGGGTTCTCTATTCTGTTCCACTCGTCTGTGTGTCTGTTTTTATGCCAGAACCATGTT